CCCCAAACGCGGAGAACTGCGGGAAAATATCTTGGATATGATTTGATTCGACACCCTTTACAACGCGTAATACATTAACCGTGAGCTCGATCGAAATCTAGCCGTCTTAATGAGCTCACATCGGTCATCGCGCTATATTATTAACCGACATAAGCCCTCACCGCCTTGTCAGAACACAAGCCATGGTCACCGATGCTGACTGTATGCAACGGATACTTTATGAGAGCCACATATAATATGTACTACTATTGGAGGTATATACGCTGTATTGAAGACGAGATGTACATTGGATTGTATAATGAATACCTTAGGTAATTAACCGCCTTCGCGTTGATATATCTTGTAATTAGTAATAGGTAGAATCACTGTTATGTAACTACCATTCCCGTGAGTTGCACCAATCTTAGGTAGAGTTGATGTCGATCGGATTATTGGGCGATTGCTCAGTTTTCAGTGTCTGTATGGCAATAATCCGAGGCGCTGGGACCATCGCGGTCCCTCAGGGGAAGCATTGGGCTGTCACTAGCCCATTCGTCAAAAGCACGCTTTTGAGTCGTTCTGTCATCGCATGTGTATTGTTTAGCATCTACTGCTAGTCCATACGGGGTAGAACTAAAAGCCCTACGGCCCCTGAGTCTATGGTATAATATTCCCCCCCAACGAGGTGATAACTAGATCCGGCTCTCTCAGCGAGGCCAGTCATCTTAGTCCCCCATGATATCTACATCCTCCCCGTCGGAGGTGCAAGTCCTAGGCTGTTGCAAATGCGCGGATGGATGGGAGGCCCGTCTTCAGCTTAACTTTGATCGCGTTTCATTTCTCTAGGCGGGGTCTATTTCATCTTATAGGCAGCGAAGTCGTCTCTAGCAACTTCTTGATCTCCTGTACGAGATCATCTCTCGAAACAAGCAGACCCTGGTCTTTATCATCCTTCTTCTCCTCGCCGCCCTTCCCGGTGCCTAAGACCTTGATGCGGACCTTGCCTTCGGCGAGCTCGTCCTGGCCGAGGATAACAGCTAGCGGCACGTCCTCGGCGGCCTTGAACTGCTGTGGTAGGCGGGGCTTGACTTTGGCGCTGTACTCAGCGCGGATGCCGGCCTCCCATAGCTGTCGCGCTACCGACATGCGTTGGAGCAGAAGGCCGTCGAACTCCTTGCCGCCAAAGGCCATGACGTACACGTCGACCTGGCGCGAGCGGCCCGCCTTGTCCCCCTGTCGTGCTTTCAGGATCGTGAAGATGCGGTCGACGCCGAATGAGATACCGACGCAAGGGATTTGCTTCTTGCCGTACATGCCCACAAGGTTATCGTATCGGCCGCCTGCAGCGATACTACCCACTCCCGCGCTCGTCTCCTCCTTGCCCTTGGTCGGTTTTCCGGGATACCGTGACTCTTCCTTATTACTCGACGGTTTTTGGATGACCTCAAATATTACGCCGGTGTAGTAGTCTAGGCCTCTCGCGAGCGACAGGTCAAAGGAGATCTTGTCGAATGTATTTAATTCTTTCGAGTAGGACGAGAGGAGATCCATATCAGCAAGTCCCGCCTTGATCTCGTCATTGGCTGAAAGGTTCGCATCGGACCGAATGAACTGTATCATCTCATCGACAGTACCCTTATTTAGGACATATTGACCAATCTTGTCGGCGACCTCCTCGGGAAGTCCCTTCTGCTCTACCATCTCCTTCTTGACTACATCCCACGGCTCCTTATCCAGCTTGTCTACGGCTGAGCTGATGGGCCGGATCTTCTCGGGGGGTACACCTGCGACAGCGAACAGACCATCGAGGATTTTTCTGTGGTTGAGCTTGATGACTATTTCCTGGTCGAGGGCATCGAAGGTCTCGGCGATAACGCGCAATATTTCAGCATCGGGAATCATGGAGTCGTACTGTCCGGCGATGTCGAAGTCGCACTGGTAGAACTCGCGCATGCGGCCGCGGGCGATGGCCGGCTGGTCGCGGCGGTAGACCTTGGCAATCTGGTAGCGCTTGATCTGCTGGACATTGTTCATGGCCAGCCAGCGGGCGAAGGGGACGGTCAGGTCATAGCGCAGGGCGCAGAGCTCGCCGCCCTGGTCCTCGAGGTTGTAGATCAGCTTCGAGTCCTCGCCATACTTGCCCGAGAGGATTTCCCTCAGCTCGAAGACGGGGGTATCGAGGGGTGTGCCGCCGTGAAGCTTGAAGATGTTGCTAATGGTCTCACTGTTGCCGGATTAGCAAATGGCAGGCGCAGAAGGTGCTAGGTGAGAAAACGTACAAGACATGATCTCGCAGGAGTAAATCCGAGCCCGACCAGTCGCGCGTACCCTTGGCCGCCTTTAGAGATATCTTGGCCTCCTTGGAAGCCATGTCGCCAATGTTGCCAGAGGGCGAGGGTTCGTAGTTAGACAATCGACAGGTTCGACTAGAGGAAAACAGTGCCCTGGGGAATAAGAACGGCGATCGAGTGAAAGTTGAAAATATTTGCCTATTCCATCTGCAAAGCGCACGCAGCATCTCTTGGGTTGCCCCGCGTAAAAGTTATAGCCCGAAAAAAAAGAAAGCGAGGGGTGACTCAATAGGAGCTCTTCTGCTTCTGCAACGTGGGGTTATTTACTGCAGTCATGTGACCCACAATATATCTTATATCTTATATCTTATCCTTATCTATCCTTATCCATCCTTATCGTTAATACCTACAAGCTCCACCCTAGCTCCCCCTATCTTGATGCTATCGATAACATCGAACTTATAAAACTGAGCTCCATTATTTCACACCTAGAAAATGGTGGTACGATGTCTTGATCCAGGGGATGTTTACGTTCTGCAATTGAACGCTCCTGTCCTTCGGGACTATGTAACAAACCACGAAATCAGATTGTGTACCGGCTAAGCAATGAAATTGCCCATATGAAAGGCCCATACGACTGGAACCGCTCCTTACTAGAGACTTGAGTACCCAAGGTGGCGTCGGAGAGCATTAGAACGAAAATGGCAGTCGAAGATCTCGTGGCCTGGGTCGATGAATTTAGCGACCTAATACAAGACTTCCCGTACGTCCCACAACTTTAGTATTTGTCCCTTAAACTTGTAACTCATACCCCGTGTATAGGATCAAGGACTTCGTGTTCCTCCTCGCTCCCATCATCTTCGCCGTTGTGGGTGGCCTGATACTCTACCACACCCACACGGACTACTGGGAGAAGCCGAAGCGATATGCCGTCCCGATTCCCAAGAAACCCGACGAATGCAAGATCCTCGAGCACCCTACTATAAAGGTTCCGAGCTCCACTGCCATACAATGTTATATGCCTGCCACGGGCCAGTTTCTGGGTCTCGTCAACCCTTCTACTCCCGCGGGCATCGACCGCGCCATCGCCCAAGCCCACGCCGCCCAGGATAAATGGGCCAAGACCACGTTCAGCGAGCGGCGGAAAGTGCTGCGAACGATGCTGCAGCACATCCTCGACAACCAGGAGCAGATCTGCGAAGTAAGTTCTCTAGATTCGGGCAAGACGATGATCGACGCCCAGCTGGGCGAGATCATGGTCACGGCCGAGAAGCTGCAGTGGACCATCCGCCACGGCGAGAAGGCGTTGCGCCCGAGCAGACGCCCGACCAACCTGCTCATGAGCTATAAGCGAAACACGGTGCGCTACGAGCCACTAGGCGTCGTGGCGGCGCTTGTGAGCTGGAATTACCCCTTCCACAACCTGATGGGGCCCATCATCAGCTCCATCTTCGCGGGCAACGGCGTCATTGTCAAAGTCTCTGAACAGACGTGCTGGAGCGCGGCCTACTACACCATGATCGCGAGGGGCGCCCTCGTAGCCCACGGTCACGACCCGCAGCTGATCCAGAGCGTCGTCTGCTGGCCGCAGACTGCGAGCCACCTGACGAGCCATCCTGGTATTAGCCACCTGACCTTCATCGGCAGCCGCCCCGTGTGCCACCAGGTCGCCGCCAGCGCCGCCAAGAGCCTGACCCCCGTGGTCGCCGAGCTCGGCGGCAAGGATGCTGCCGTCATTCTCGACTCGGCCGAGCGCGACCTCGGGCGCATCGTCGATATCCTCATGCGCGGCACCTTCCAGGCCTCGGGCCAGAACTGCATCGGCATCGAGCGCATCATCGCCGCCCCGGGGGTCTACGACAAGCTCGTCGCCATGCTCGAACCGCGTGTGAAAGCTCTACGCCTCGGCCTCGACGAAGACGTCGGCGCCATGGTCTCCGACGCCTCGTTCGCGCGCCTCGAGGCTCTCGTCGACGACGCCGTCGCCCGCGGCGCCCGGCTCCTAGCCGGCGGCAAACGGCACATCCACCCGGACCACCCGCGCGGCTTCTACTTCACCCCCACGCTGCTGGTCGACGTGACACCTGCCATGGCGGTCGCGAACGAGGAATGCTTCGGGCCGATCATGACGGTCCTGCGCGCCCCCTCGTCCTCGGCCTCCGACATCCTGGCCCTAGCCAACGCACCGGACTTCGGCCTCGGCTCCTCCGTGTACGGGCGGGACTCGGACGCGGCCCTGCAGGAGGTGGTGCGCGGCCTCCGCGCGGGCGGCGTCGCCGTCAACGACTTCGCCGTCTACTACGCGGTGCAGCTGCCGTTCGGCGGCGTCGGCGGGTCCGGGTACGGCCGCTTCGCCGGCGAGGAGGGCCTGCGCGGCCTCTGCAATACCAAGAGCGTGTGCGAGGACCGCCTCGCGTGGCTCGGGATCCGCACCGCCATCCCCCCGCCCGTGCGGTATCCCGTCGCGAGCCAGCAGCGCGGGTGGCGGTTCACGAGCGGGGTCGTGGGCTTGGGGTACGCGCTTACCGTCCGGGAGAAGCTGGGCGCGTTGGTGGATATCTTAAGGAATGTGTAGTTAATGGTGGAGACGAGACAAAAAAGGGGGGAAGTTTCCACCCCAGGGACTGCACATACTTAGATACCCCGGTATATATATATATATATATTAGGTACGTATAATTACATAATAGAAAAGACATGCAAAAACAAAAAGACATAGAAAAAAAGGTACTCCGATACGGGGAATCGAACCCCGAGCTCCTCGGCGAGAACGGTGAGAACGAGGTATGTTAGCCGTTACACTATATCGGACTCGACATTGGGGTCGGTAGTCATCTGCATACCGCCTTGGTGGTTAGACACGTTAATGTGTAATCCTACTCAGCTGCTGCGTTATGTATGCCTCGCTCCCCTTGCCTTTCTTGCCTTAGTAGTATCACGATGGACATTGTACGCGATAGAAGTCGTAAGATCCTCACCGATACATTTCATATTAGGTCCGGTTTATCTACGGCGCCGGCCGCTGATCCGCCGCCTTCGCCCTGAGAAATATCGCGACCATGTCTTCCTTGCCTGTTTTATTCCCTCGGTGCCAAACTCCCATATGTCCCTATGTCCATCCTCCTCGAACTCCCGGAAGACCACAAGCACAGTCGATCGTGGTTACCATTTACACGTGGGTAGGAGAATATCAACAGAGCAGTGGTCCCGGGAATAGCAAACGCAATCCGCATTCCCTTAGTACATACACACCAACTAAACCACAAGATTCGTACAAGTAAACAGGCAATAGAAATGAAAAGGGGTAACGAGCCAAGACCCCAGTCGAGAAGACGACGGAGCGGAAAAGCTCAGCTACTACGCGGCGGAAGCGATAGCCTTCTGGATGCGGACGAGGTTGCCGAAGTCGAGGCCCTTAGCGTCGCCGGCGGGGGGCATGTGCTCGCCGGAAGCGATACACAAAACGCGCATGCGCTCGTCGTAGCGCAGGCCGGTGAGCAGCTTGGGGGTGATGAGGAAGTACTGGCTCGTGTGCTCGCGGCAGGCGATCTCGACCATGCGCTCGTGCACCATGCGCTCGTTGCGCGGGTCCATGCCCTGGTTGATCTCGTCGACGACGCGGAACGGCGCCTGCGCCATCGACTGCAGCGCCATCAGGTAGAAGATGGTCGACACCGCCCGCTCCCCGCCCGACTGCCGGTGCTGGTTCAGCTGCTGCAGCGTCTCGTTCTCCCGGAACTTGACCTTGATCTCGATCGCCCACTGCTCGAAGTCCTCGTCCTTGTGGATGCCGACTTCGCCCGCGCAGTTGATCTGCTCGAAGTTGTAGCTGAAGGCGTCGTTGATCTTGCCGATGATTTCGTCGACCTGGGGCTCCCATTGTTCCATGATCTCCCGCATCTTCTCAGCGATCGAATCAAGCTCGGCAGTTATATCATCCTTCCTCTGCTTGCACTCTATGATATCTAGTTCGCGTTTCTGGTATTGACGTAAGATGGCAGGGTCGACTCCTTGAATCAGATCCAGCTTAGTCGTCTCGGCACCGATCTCGTCGGTGATGTCCTCCGGGGTTTTCCCACCTGCCAGCTCGGTCCAGCGATGAAGGTCATTATCCACGTTAGCCAGCTCTGTAACTTTCTTCTGAGCAGCAGCTCCTTCGGCTTTTAGTCTCTTGATCTCCTGTGCGACGGCGTCGATTTCGGCCCTCTTTTCGTCAAGTTGTTGCTTAACCTTGGCATTCTGCTGCACTAACCCCTTCACATCCGACTCTGCTTCAATGAGGCGGATCTGAACCTCAAGTAGTGCTTGATGGGCGTCACGAATTTGAGAGAGTTGTTCGTTGTGCTCGAGAACAGATTTCGCCTTCTTAACGATGAGCTGGTCCTCTTGTTCGCCGTATTCCTGCATCCTCGTTCTACATTCCGCAAGCCCATTCTGTGCGGTTTCGAGAGCTGTTTTCTCGAACGCTACACCTTGTCAGTCTGTCCCTTTGCATGATACCTTAGATACTCACCAATTTTGTCTCCGAGCGTCGCGTATTGCGTGGCAGCTCTCTGTAATTCGTTTTTCTCTGTCCTCAATCTCTCCTTCAGGGCGGTGGTTAGAATCGCACACGAGTAATCTAGCAAGGGTAGATACTCACCAGTTCCGCTTGGATAGGACCATCAGCATCAGCCTTTTCTCTGATGCGTACGCCCAGATCTCTTCCCTGGTTCTTAAGCCTTTCGAGTTCCTCGTCGGCTTCATTTATCCTTCTTTGCAACGTAGTTCTTTCAGATTGGTCAACCGGTTGATTCGTCCAGAAGCGGCTGGGCATGATTTTCCTGGTGCTAGTTGAGACTGCGTTACCACCATATTCTCTTCGCCTTTGGACGCGATACAATATACGGCCGCTGGCCCAGCTAGGTATTCTCTCGCAGTTCGCTATGCGCTCGTATTGGTCGTTACTAATATCCCGAAGAGCAACCCCGGCGATGTGCAGTTTCTTTTCCGAGCAAAGCATTGCGAGAACAGGCTCTGGGCCTTCCAGGTACTCGATAGCATATGCGTCAAGACCCATTTCGCGAACTTGCTCCTTAGGAATAGCTGGTCGAAACGAGGCGAAATCGGTCCCGCATGTTCTGATAGACACTGCCACTCCCATTTGCTTATAAAATTGCGCGCTGAGCTTCTTGTGGTCGTTTGGGGTCTGGCAAGTGAAGCAGAGGAAGTCTTCTTGTGTGAGAAGCGATTGGATTTGGTCCGAGTACCGTTGGTCCGTAATAGAGCAGCTAAGCATTGGTGGACCAAACACTTCTTTCTCGAATTCACCACGATGTTCTTGAAGCCATTCCCAGCCTTTCGCGGCATCCGCGTGAATTTTTCTCAGCTGAGAAAGCTTTTGGCCCTCCTGAGAATTCAGTATTTTTAAATCTCCCTCGAGCTTCTTTTTTTCCTCCTCCTTATTCGAATGAAGTACTCTTGCCTCTTCACGTTGGTCGCGGAACGTACGCCTTTCTGCTTCATTTTCGCGCAAGAGAGCCTCTTGTTGGCGCTAGGTTTGTGTATATCAGCATTGCAGGACGATAGAAATCAGATCAAAACGACTTACAATCCTAGTGTTCCAGTCAGCAGCAACAAACGCCGCAGGCTTTTTCTGCAGTTTAGCCTCGAGCTCCGTGATTGTCCTACGAATCTTCGCAATACTCGTCCGCTTAGAAGTGAAGGAACCCTGTTCTGCGCTCTTCTTGTTTTGGAGATGTTTGATTTGTTCGTCCTGCGCCTCAATGGTCTCCACAAGTCGGTCGCACGCCGCCTCTGCTTTCTTTAGTGCAAACTTTCGCTCTCCGACGACGGCTTCGATCTTTTCTTGGTACGCTTGCTTCCGATTAACAGCTTCCAAGGCAGGTCCGCAAGCCTCTTCCAGTTCTTTCAGTCTCCCTATAGCATCTTTGTGCTTCTGTTTCGTATCGTTAAGTGTTCTTCGGATAGTATTGTATATGGCAACCACGTGAGCAGATGTGAGGTCTTCGATTTTCTTCTGGATTGCTTCTCTATCGCGGAGTCTGTCTACATCGGCTTTCGATCCCTGCTGGCGTGTTTCGTGGTTCTTCAATGTTTCAACACACTCGTCCAGTTTCACCTTCTTCTTTTTGTGCTCTGCGTGATTTTCCCTAAGCTCATCGTGCCATTCAATCATTTGCTTAGGGGCGGCTGCTCGTAGGGTCTCGTGGAGAAGCTGTACGGGATTAAGGCCGGCGAATTCGGCAACCCTATCCTGGGGGAGGAACTGGCAAAGATTGTCGATTTGGATGCGCAACTCATTTACAAGACGCTTGACGGTATGCTGGGTGCTGTCCTTCCCATTGATCCACCACTTGGTCTTGTTATCTTCTTTGCGGATCTGCAGGCGGATTACGGGGTTGTCTCGATCGTCCGGTCCACCTTGTAATTCTATTTCGACAATAGCAAAATCTTTCCCATGCTTCACGAACTCTCCCAGGATACTAGCTCGGCCGAGATGCCTCGGGTGAAACCCCAAACCCAGGCAAATAGCACAAACCAGAGAACTCTTTCCAGTACCGTTTGGACCGATGACCATATTGAGATTCGGGCCGGGTTTGAATTCAGCATGTTCGTACGTGACAAAGTTTTCGACTAGAACTCGTACAATAGCACCTGTCTGGAACTCACTGGTGCTATTTCCACGATCAGCTCGCGAGGGGGAGCTCTTAATTCGTTTACCACGCGAAACACGTCGGTCGTCTTGTTCGTCTTCGTCTTCTTCGGATAAAGCGTCATCGGTGACGCGCTTCTGTCGCTTTGGGTAGTCCGACTCGGAAGATTGGTCATCGTTCTCTTCCTCAAATCGCGCCCTAGACCGTCGGCGGGGCTCGAGAGACGGCATGGCCGCGGAGATAGAAGGCCGATCAACTAATCAACTAGCGAGACTCAAGAAAGAGGATAGTCAAGTTGTAGGATGCGCATCCACGTAGGGGGAAATTAGAAATCCGAATTGTTTCAGTTGTGGCAGTAGACCGAGGCAGTTGAATAATCTGACTCTAATTGATTCTGCCGTGAGATGTGGGACGCGATCTAGTGACTTGCAAAGACGCGTTTGTACATTTTCTACATAAGGTGGGGTTGTCAGGGTGTAGAGGACCGTGGGGCAAGGGTGGGTGGTGGGGACTAAGGCAACTAGGGTGGACGTTGAACTTCAGATTGTTTTCCATTCTTCCTAATAGGGCTTAGTACGTAATTGCCTAATTGGGTAGGTCAGGGTTTATGAGGCTCAGCCGAGGACATGGCCGGAGCTCCATCTTCGACTTCATCTGTCCATGTCTCAGATCGATTCCTGCATTGCTCCTGGATATATTTCGTGAACGTCACAGGCACATGTCTTGGATACACCTAGTATAATGTCTAATAAAATACCTTTATTCTTATTTCGATATGAAAGCCCCCTTCTTATTATATTCCCTCTCTTGTATGCCATTGCTATCCTCATCAACATGACAAGAGTGCAGTCTACCTTACCTAGGTAGGTACATAACCTGCCTAAGGTACCTAAGTGGCTTGCTTGCTTCATGTGGTTCTCCGTCATTTACTAGAATGCATAGAGCATATACGTATGTTAGGTACATTGTTGGGTATTTTACCCAAAGTGGAAAATGGATCGGAGATGTTCTACCTGTGCCTAAGGTGTAGGTATGCTTAAGAAGGGAAAGGGATGGACAGTTACCCCCTAGATAGGTATAAACATGGACCGCTAGGGGGGATACAAGTGCCAAATGTTTTGAAAGAGAATAACCAGGTACCCCGCTGGTGATTTA